AGACACATCTTAAAAAGGAGAAGAAACAGATGAAATTCATTTTGGTAATGTATTTTATTTAAACCAATATGTTCAAAATATTATTTCAAAATGTAATGATGTAAATACACTGAAATACTTCACACTCATATCTTTATACCACTTTCAAAATCTGGTATATGTTTTATTGTTATTGCATATCTCAATTTGGATGCTAAATTTTCAGTGTTAAAGGTGAATTATAGTCCTACCAAAACAATAAAGTTGCGTTTAATGGAAAAACATTTATATTACTTTTGTATTTAAATTTAAATTTAAATTAAATGTAATCCTGTGTTAATTTGCTTAGAAAAAAAATTTTTACTTCAGCTATTTGTTCACACTACATTTTCAAAGGGATTAGTAGTTACTCATTTTTCTGCTTTACAGTTTCTTGTTGTAGAATGTAGACAATAATTATATCAATGGCCTTAGGATCTTTGTGAGGCCTGGATACATTAATACGGACATAACCCTAGAGAATTCAATAAAGCCCTGGCACTTTAAGTCCTTATCTGCAAGGGAAGGAAAAAAGCTGGTTTGTGAAGATTCTTAGTATTCCTCATACATTTTCTATAAATCAAGAGCAATGAAAAAATAAAGTTAATTTTTATGGGCACTTGAATTTTTAAAAGCCAGATTTGCAAATGTTCTATTAACTTAAGGCAGTTTGACTGTCTTAGGTTCAATGATTTGCTAGAAGGACTCACAGAACTCAGAAAAGCTGTTATCCTCATGCTTATTGTTCATTTAAATGAAAAGGTACACATTAAAACCAGCAAAGGGAAAAGTTGCATAAGGCAAGGACCGGGAGAAACCAGGTGCAAACTTCCAGTGCAGTTGCACAGGCAGCACTTAATTCTCTCAGCAAAAATATGCAACTACAAATGTGAAATGTGGCCAAATAGGGAAGCTCTCCTAAGCCATGGTTTCCAGGGCTTTTTGTTTTGCTTTGTTTTCTTGTGTGTGTGTGTGGTTCTTTGTTGTTGTTGTTGTTTTGAGATAGGGTCTCGCTCTCTCACCCAGGCTGAAATGCAGTGGTGTGGTCACAGCTAACCACAGCCTCTACTTCCCAGGCCCAAGTGATCCTCCCACCACAGTCCCCTGAGTAGCTGGGACTACAGGCACACAACACAACACCTGGCTAATTTTTGTATTATTTTTATCGGGTTTTGCCATGTTGTCCAGGCTGGTCTTGAACCCCTGGGCTCAAGTGATCCACCTGCCTCGGCCTCCCAAAGTGTTGGGATCACAGGCATGAGCCACTGCTCTGGCCTGTGTCCAGGGTTTTTACTGAGGATCAGTCATGTGGGCATGGAGGTTCTGTGCACCAACCTTAGCTACTTAGTCAAACCTATCCAGAAGTCAGATTGATACAGGTATTTACCATAAACCACATTGTTAACATAAACTACCTGTAATGGCTAAGACCTCAGATATACAGAGACTCTATTATCAGGCAGGATACTCTAAGTGCTCAGAGATTATCTGCCAGGAGCTGGTCAAGGACCATTTCTTCTTTGGAATGTGCAAGGTTTGAGCACTCTGAGCCAATTTTTTTTTTCTTTTTCTTTTTGCAATGGAGTCTTGCCCTGCAGCCCAGGCTAGAGTGCAGTGGTGTGATCTTGGCTCACTGCAACCTCCACCTCCCAGTCTCAAGCAATTCTCATGTCTCAGCCTCCTGAGTAGCTGGGATTATAGGTATGCACCACCATACCCAGCTACTTTTTGTATTTTTTTTAAGTAGAGATAGGGTTTCACCATGTTGGCCAGGCTAGTCTGAAACTCCTGGCCTCATGTAATCCACCTGCCTCAGCCTCCCTAAGTGCTGGGATTACAGGCACAAGCCACCACACCCAGCTGGTTTTTAAAAATGTAATTGATTTCTCTTTGTTGATATCTCACTTATTTATATGTCGTCTTCCTGATTTCCTTTTTAATTCTTTTTCTGTTTTCCTTTACCTCTGTGAACATATTTAAGACAATGTTTACAAAGTTTTTCCTAGTTATTCCAATGCTTTTGTTTCTTCAAGGGTGTTTTGTTTTGCTCCTTTGATTGGACCATGTTTTCCTGTTTCTTTTTGAGATAGGGTCTCGCTCTCTTGCCCAGCCTTGGAGTATTTTTTTTTTTATTTTTATTTTTTTGAGATGGAGTCTCACTCTGTCCCCCAGGCTGGGGTGCAGTGGCTCGATCTCTGCTCTGCCACTGCAACCTTCACCTCCCAAATTCAAGCAATTCTGCCTCACCTTCCCGAGTAGCTGAGATTACAGGCGCCCACCACCATGCCCGCCTAATTTTTATATTTTTAGTAGAGATGGGGTTTCACCATGTTGACCAGGCTGGTCTCGAACTCCCGACCTCAGGCGATCCACCTACTTTGGCCTCCCAAAGTGCTGGGATTACAGGCGTGAGCCACCATGCCTGGCCCAGCCTTGCAGTCTTTTGTTGAAAACTGGGCATTTGAAGAAACAGCTACTTCTCCTAATTTTTGCAGACTGTTGGAGAAGATCTTCACTAATTAAGGCCTTGGGATCATCTCAGAGTGAAAGCCTAAGGTCTTATGTTTTTCGTGGGTCTGTAGTGTGCTTTTACCAATTTCCTCAATATACATAGCTACTTTCAAATGCCCTAATTTCCATAGGGTCTCACCCTTGCTTCTTAGGCTCTAGATGTTATATTGTATTTTTCTACCTGTAATCATTTGCTCCAAGTATCCACAGGTGTGCAGGCAATTAAAATATCTTGAGTTCTACATACTGATCTTATATCCTGCAATGCTGCTGCACTTATTTCTAGTTTCAATAGTATTTTAGCTTTGATGCACCACAGTGCCCACCACTGTCCTTTGTGGACTTTACCTGCCTGAGATCTGAGCTATGCAGCTTTTCACATG